AATTGGAGCCGTGGTGGCTTAGTGGTTACGAGCTCGGCTCCTAACCAAAAGGACAGCAGTTTTGAGTTCACCCGCCACTCCTTGGAAACCCTATGGGACAGTTCTACTCTGTTCTCTGAGGTCGCTATGAGTCGGAATTGACTCGACAGCAACAATGGGGCTAAATTAAGAAATTTCTAAGGAGGACTTATTAGTATCGTGGTTTTTAAAATTTAACTCAGCTGTGTAACTAGTGTGCTCAAGTGCCGGGATCTCCCAAGCACATTTAACATTTTGTTTTACTTGTGTTCTTTATTACTTTTCTAGCTATCTTTATGTTTTCTGGAAGGACACGTTTTGCTTTCTTATTCTTTTGTCCTTTCTAAGGAAAGGCACAGTGCCTTTTGGGGATCTTTTTGGAGATCATTGAGACTGTCTCTGGGCCTCTTTTGTGTCAAATAGTGGATATCCCCCAGCCCCCACTTGACAGCTACATACAATAGGTTGTCAGATTTCTGGAACTGCTCAGCATCTGTGATTTTCTCTTATCTTGTAAATATCCTTTTTCCTTTCATTGTTTCATGATCTTCCCTTCCCATAAAGTTTCAAACCAAACCTCTATTTCAGATTCCTAATTTTAAATGTAATTTCATTCTGTCTTTATTTTCAGCCTTTGATACATTTATCATTGTAGTAGCTTCTGATATTTAAAAATGCTAAATTAAAAGTTTACTGGATGATATAGTTTTAAAAGAACTGTATCATTTTTATTTTTCTCACCTTTTTTTTTCCTGTTTTCTTTTTAATTTTTTTTTTTTTATGCAGAGTTGATTGTCTTAAAATTAGGTGTGTGACTATTTCATTCTGGCTGTTAAATGTCTTCCTTTCTGACCATAGTGTTTGAGCTTTATTGCTTAAACTTAAAATTTATCGTCTCTCCGTGGAGATACAGCTTTGGGATCATTTTAAGGGTTGCCTTTAAGGCCATATTACAATTTCCATATGTGCCTGGTGGTCAGGGAAGTTAGCGAACACTTGTGCACAGGATCTGAGCCAAATCCAGTAGTGGCTACAGTCATTTGAATATACTCTGGGCCGTTGTCAATTTCTACTTTGCCTTTTTGCATGTCCTGAATCACTGCTTTTTGTTTCTAATAATCTCCCGTTCTGCTCTGTCTTCTCTCTGCATTTAGTTCTGCTGTTTGTTCTGCTATTTGTCTCTCTTCTGTTCCCCTGTGTGGCTTTTGCAGGAGTTTGTGGCTGTACTGAGAGATGCCTGCTTAGAGGAGCTCCTCTGGGTGCTGGCCTTGCGATTGTGTTTGGGTTATTTTGTAGAGCGTAAGAGGACAAGAGTGGAGCCAAATGTGCATGCAGGATAGCCCCGAAATTCTCCTCAAGTGCAACTTTAATGATAAATAGATTGACAGATCGCTAAAGCTCAGATTTGGAAGAGAAACCATGTAGATCATGTAGCTCTTGTCCACTCTCCTTCTGAAGACGAGGAAACTGAGGCCACGCTTGTGGAAGTGGCTTGCCAAAGCCATGCTTCTGATAATCATATTATGAAAGCAATCCACTTACGTGCCTACTTGAAAGGATCAAAATTTTTCTCTTTTTCTTTGATAAAGCTAGGGAGGAGGCTGAAAGATGTTAAGTTAGCAAGAGAAGAACTAACACATTTAGTCACTTTTTATTTTAGGTGTTTGAGGCATGGTTGCTGTGAATCTGGTTTCTGTTTGCTTTTAGCTCTGGCACAGTCTCTGTGGTGTCATCACACCTTTTATTTGAAATCTCGCTGGAGTCAGAGCACATGGAAAGTACCTTTCCCTAATATTGTCCCCTCACCCCACCACATTAAAAAACAAGCACACACATGCTCATGGTCGTGCCTGTACTTAGTGAGGAAAGAAGGAATAAGAAGGGGTTGTTAGCTGGTTGTCAAGGCATACTCTGCACCAATGGATATATGTGACAATAAGAATAGTACCTTTTTTGAGGGCTAAGTGTTTTATGTGTGTCAATTTATTTCTCACAACAATGGTGTGAAATGAATACTCTTGCCATCCTTTTTATAGGTGGGAAGCAGAGGCGCCGAGAGGTGTAGTTACTTTAATTACAGGCTGGTAAGGGCTGATGCAGGGAGTGGTTAAACCGGGTCCCTTTCCTCACCATTGCACTCTACACGAGGATCTTTCACACAGCATGTGTCATGATGGGTTAGCTGGGAGACAGGTCAGGGGTATGTGAGCTGTTCGGGCAGAGAGAGCAACCAGAGCAAATCACAAGTGTGGAACTGCAGGCTCTGGTCTGGACTGAGTGTGGCCTGTGTGTAGGGAAATCGTGGCACTCAGGCTGGCGCAGTGGGTGAGGTCCAGATTCAGGCTTTAGTGCCCTGCGTGTTTAGTTCCCCACCAGGAGAGGGCAGGAGGAACATGTTAGACTGCCCACCTCAGCCTGCCTCTCTTACCACCCTCTTGTGTCTCTCCCTGCACCTTCTCCTTTCTCCTTCCCCAAGCTGTGTGGGGCCATGTACTAGGAGCTGGAGTGAAAAGGGAATTGGAACTGGTGGTGTCTCAGGTTTCTACTTAATTCCATTTTTTCCAGCCCGGCACCTCCTTCTCCTGTGGTCCATTGTGTCAGGACCCTCCTCTTCTGTGTAGGGTGGGGGTGTGCTGTCATGGGCAGGGAGTATAGGGAATTGGGGTCTGAGTACTCCCTGTGCAGCATCAGCCGATCCCGTTTTCAGCTGTGTGTCACCTGTGAACTGTGAAGTACTTGGTGCCCCCATTCCCTGAGTTTTTTGGGGGTTCTGCTGGGTATACTGGTCTTGCCTTCCAGCAGATGCCCACCCCACCCACACTGGCATTGAGACTTCCTGTCCTGTCCCTGGTCCTGCCCTCTAGCAGATGCCCACCCCACCCTCACCAGCACTGAGACTCCCTGTCCTGTCCCTGGTCCTGCCCTCCAGCTGATGCCCACCCTACCCCTATCTGCATTGAGACTTCCTGTCCTGTCCCTGGTCCTGCCCTCCAGCAGATGCCCACCCTACCCTTATCTGCATTGAGACTTCCTGTCCTGTCCCTGGTCCTGCCCTCAAGCAGATGCCCACCCTACCCCTGTCTGCGTTGAGACTCCCTGTCCTGTCCCTGGTCCTGCCCTCCAGCAGATGCCCACCCCACCCCCACCAGCATTGAGACTCCCTGTCCTGCCCTCCAGCAGATGCCCACCCTACCCCTGTCTGCATTGAGACTCCCTGTCCTGTCCCTGGTCCTGCCCTCCAGCAGATGTCCACCCTACCCCTATCTGCATTGAGACTTCCTGTCCTGTCCCTGGTCCTGCCCTCCAGCAGATGCCCACCCTACCCCTATCTGCATTGAGACTTCCTGTCCTGTCCCTGGTCCTGCCCTCCAGCAGATGCCCACCCCACCCCCACCAGCATTGAGACTCCCTGTCCTGCCCTCCAGCTGATGCCCACCCTACCCCTATCTGCATTGAGACTTCCTGTCCTGTCCCTGGTCCTGCCATCCAGCAGATGCCCACCCTACCCCTATCTGCATTGAGACTTTCTGTCCTGTCCCTGGTCCTGCCCTCCAGCAGATGCCCACCCCACCCCCACCAGCATTGAGACTCCTTGTCCTGCCCTCCAGCTGATGCCCACCCTACCCCTATCTGCATTGAGACTTCCTGTCCTGGCCCTGGTCCTGCCCTCCAGCAGATGCCCACCCCACCCCATCAGCCTTGAGGCCTTCTCCTCCTGGCCCTGGTCCTGCCCTCCAGCAGATGTCCATCCCACCCTATCAGCCTTGAGGCCTCCTCCTCCTGGCCCTGGTCCTGCCCTCCAGCTGATGCCCACCCTACCCCTATCTGCATTGAGACTCCCTGTCCTGTCCCTGGTCCTGCCCTCCAGCAGATGTCCACCCCACCCCATCAGCCTTGAGGCCTCCTCCTCCTGGCCCTGGTCTTGACCTCCAACAGATGCCCCTCTGCTGGCATTTACCATTGCTTTGTCCACTTTCTGTCTTCAGGTTTCCACAAAGATAGAGTTGGTGTTTCTGTTTCGCATCATTGTCATTTTGGGGTGAATCTTGAGGGAAGGAGGGGCCATCATAAAACCAGAGGTCCTCTTCTTCAACTTTGTTGAGCATCTAGTGGGAGTTTCTTCCTGTCTGGCACCTCCTAAATCAAAGAAACCAAACTTGTTGCCGTCAAGTAGATTCCAACTCATAGTGACCATGTAGGACAGAGTAGAACTGCCCCATAAGGTTTCCAAGGAGCGGCTGATGGATTCGAGCTGCCGACCTTTTAGTTAGCAGCCGTGGCTCTTAACCACTGTGCCACCATGGTTTCCAGCACCTACTAGGTTCTTGTTAGTACACAAAATGAGATTGGAGCCTCTTTAGGAAGCTCTTGTAATGAGTTAGAAGTCACGAGTAGTAATGGCAGCCATTGAAAGGGAGGGGCCAGGTGTGGGACAGTGGAGATTGACTCCACAGCAAATGAGTGACTGCTTGAATGTGTGAGGAGGGGGCAGGAGGACCCTAGAGGAGGTTTTCAGCTTGACTTGGAATAATTGATGCTCTCTTATCCATGTTTTCTAGACTAGTTATTGTAGAATTTGCTTCTGACACACATAAATGCTTTTGTTAGTACTGTCTCCATTCTTGGAACTTGGTAGGATCATCTGAGGAGCTTCATTAATAAGGCCGCATGCTAAGATGCCTGAATATATAGTTAAGGCATTAATAGAGATTATAGTTAAAAAGGCCTCAGAGCCATGTGTCAAGTGGAGTAATGTGAAGTGTCCTATTTAAAAAGGAAACTCGGAAGTGGAATAAAGTGGTGAGATAAGAACACGAGCATTGAAGATATAAGGCACATGTTTTATCACATTGTCATCGTGCAATGTGAAAAAAATCAAAATTTTAGTGTCTTATAAAGTTCTTAAGCAGCTGTATATTGTGATAAGAGGGAAAATGTCAGTGCAACAAATTTTTGAAATGTCTAATTTGGTGTGATTTCAGCGAGGAGGACATGTATCGTGCTGCGGATGAAATAGAAAAGGAGAAAGAATTACTTATACATGAAAGAGGGTCATCAGGTATGTCCGGAATTGTTTTATTTATAGAGTTCTTACTGTTTATGATAGAAAATGCCATTACATCGGTATATCCATCTTTAGAAAATATTAGGTGTACTTCCTAGGAAACATTTTCATGCATATGGTCTTATCAACGTCAGATGATTCATTTTGCCAAAGTATGTTGGGGGAAGAGTGCTTCCTGAAATTTTGAAATTTTAACACAAGTGTTCTTCCTGCGTCCTTTGCATTCTTTTTTGCACCTGTGAGGATTGTTTTGTTTAATCTCTTGAACCACCCTCTCTCAGTTCTTGATTTCCTTATATTTTTAGAGGGAGAGATGGTATTTGAAGTGCATTGTTCATTTCAAATTAAGGGTTTGTGGAGAAGCTAGCTTGGCTTGGATGGCTTTGCATGCAGATGACCATGTGAATCTGATTGATAAGAAAGAATGATCCTGCAGTTGATAGCATGCATTCTCTCATTGTTTTCTGATTTAGGGTGAGTGTTCTCCTCTGCCATGCCCTGTCTTCTCACCCCCCCCCAGGCCCTATGGAAGCTAGGGCAGGCATTATTCCTGGCTGGCCTCATGCAGGGACTGGGGGTGGGGGGGGGTGCTGCCCTGATTTGGGGATTGTTGTTGTTGTGTGCCATTGAGTCAATTCTGACTCACAGCATCCTCGTGACAGAGTAGAACTGCCCCATAGGATTTCCTAGGCTGTAATCTTACAGAAGTGGATTGCCAGGTTTTTCTTTTACAGAGCTGCTGAGTGGGTTCAAATTATCATCCTTTTGGTTAGCAGCCGAGCATATTACCTGTGTGATGTATGTGTTCTACTGGCTTGTTTTGAGAACTAGCTTCTGTTCACTTTGTGGTTAACAAAAGCATTCTCACATGTGTAATTAGGAACATGGTACACAGTGGGGTTTTTGGTAATAATTTCCGAGTCTTCCTCACTAGCAGTTGATGAAACTCTTCCCTGGGATGATCAAAGGAGATAAGGGTAGCAGCAGTGGGTACAAACATAGCGATGATTGTGAGGCTGGTGCAGGACTGGGCAGTGTCTCGTTTGGTCATATATAGGGTCGCTATGAGTCGGAAGCGACTCGGCAGCATCTAACAACAACAGTTCTTTGTAATGGTCCCAGCCAGGTGTGTCCCCTGGGCCACACTGTTGCTGTCCCACATGTAACTCCAGAGGTGCCTGTCTCTACTGCTGTACTCGCTCAGGGTTCACTTTGAGGTGCAGGGCCTTCACTGGTCATATTCCTAAGGAGACAGTGCTTCATCAGATATTGTTTCTTACTGCTCTGTTAGCAGGGACTTCCTGTTCCTCTCCCACCCTGCAGGTTCTCTGTCGGGATGCTCTTGTGTCCAGCATTGTAGCCCCACACAGGTGTTTTAGCTTTTTGGTGGCACTTATGACTTCCAGATTTAGTCTGAGATTAAAATGGAAGAGCCCTTTGCATTGCTTCTTGCATCTCTGTCCTTCTGGGTTCACAGTCCTTCCTGCAGTGCAGCCTTTGGAGTGCCTTCAGCAGGTCTGCTGGTGATGCACATTGTGTCAAGGCTGGTTTATATCTCCTTTTTTTACTGAACGATAAATAACTCCAGATGAGTTAGTTTCTTTAATCTTTTTGACGATTTTATTTTCCTGTCTTCTGGTTTTTTTGTAGTTGAAAATATTGCTGTCAGTTGAATGCTTGGTAGACAGTGTGTTTTCCTTCTGTCTTTGCCTCTGGTGTTCTGTGCTTTCTCCTTGATGTCTCTAACAGTGGGCTTTTTATAAACACATTGACTGGAATATTTGTTTCTTCTTGAATCTAAAGATGCGTCGTTATCATTAGTTTTGGAAAATTCTCAGCCATTATCTCTTTGAATATTGCCTTTTTCTTATTCTTCCTGTTTACTCCAGAACTCCAATCAGATGTTTGTTAGTCCTTAATCAGTCGTACAAAGCTCTTAATCACACTCTTTCATATACATGTGTCATTTGACATTCCCGATGCATTCTGTGAAATAGGACGTTATGTGATTTGGACGTTGTGCAAACACCATATTATATTCAGGCAGTCCATGGGTTACAAACATCTGACTTACGTACAACCCATAGTTATGAACCAACCCCTGTAAAGCCTATTAGGTTAAAAATTAAAGGTACATATGATGGTTCGTAACAATAAATGGGCTTTACTTTGTGATGTGCATCAAAACATTATTATTATTATTATTTCTGTATTGTTATATTAAAGATGTTTTAGTGTATCAGGAAGCATTTATTTAATGTGTTTTATGCATAGAAAAGTACACTATATACTAGGACAAACATTTGACTAACTGACATTAGATATGTCCACTATGTCCCATTCTCCTATTGGGATTTCTGAAATCTATTGTAACCTTATAAATCATACGCATGCGAAAGCTGGCTAATGAATAAGGAAGGCCAAGGAAGAATTGATGCCTTTGAATTATGGTGTTAGCAAAGAATATAGAATATACCACGGACTGCCAAAAGAACGAGCAAATCTGTCATGGAAGAAGTATAGCCAGAATGCTTCTTAGAAGACAGGATGGTGAGACTTTGTCTCACGTACTTTGGACACATTATCAGGAGGGACCAGTCCCTGGAGAAGGACATCATGCTGGGTAAAGCAGAGGATCAGCAAAAAAGAGGAAGACCCTCAACGAGATAGATTGACGCAATGGCTGCAATGATGGGCTCAAGTATAACAACAATTGTGAGGATGGTGTAGGACCGGGCAGCGTTTCGTCCTGTTGTACAGGACGCTACGAGTCGGAACGGACACGACACCTGACAACAACAACATCACAACATTATGGGACCACAGTCGGATATGCAGTTGGACGTTGCCCAGACGGGTGTTAGATGGCGCGTGGCTGTATGTGTTCCATCCGTTGTGTCCTGGGCGGTTTCTTCAGTCTGTTCTCTTTCTTTCTGTTTTCCCTCCAGTTTTACCTGGTCTTTTTGGTAGGGTGTTGCTCTTCACTCACGTTTCTTATCCACTCTTTTATTTCTTTAAGTGTTTTAAACGTACTCTTCTATATCTGATAATTCCATTGTCTGATTATCTAATGATGCCAGCTGTTATTTTTGCCTGTTTCTTTGTTTCTTCAAATTTTGGATTGTAAGCTCAGCTTCTGCCCCTCTGTGCAGCGCCTGTGCCTCCTGGCTTGAGTGTCAGAGAATTTGGCCCTGTTTCTAGTAGAACCCCAGGGTGTCACCTACAATGGACCACTGTATGTTAATTTCTAGACTGGAGGGCCCATCTGTGATTATAAATTTTCAGGGGAGGCAGAAGTTCTCTTATCCTCTCTGTCAATGAAGAGATTCTTTTCAGCTAGTCCACAGGTCCACAAATTCTGACTTATGGACCAAATTCAGCCCACTGCCCGGTTTTGTAAATAAAATTTTATTGAAACATGTTTATTGGACCATGTCTGCCACATTCTTGCTACAATGTGACAGAGAACTTATGGTCCTCAGAACCTAAATTATTTTCTTTCTGGCCCATCATAGTAACAGGTTGTCCATACCTGCCCTAGTCCACCCTCTGAGGGTCTGAGTCCTTGTCTGTCACCTGTATAGTAGTTAAGGACCAAACCTCTTGGTTAATTCACCTCTTGCTTAGCACTTTGGTTTTCAGCTTCCCTTTTTTTGGAGGGGAGGGTGGTACATTAGAAATGTTCTTTTCTGGAAATAACAATCAGAGTCTGTATGTTTTGCAGTTAAACAAAAAGAGGAACTGTTGTAGACTATAAGCTGCTAGAGGTCAGGCGCCTCCTTGCCCTGCACCTCCAGCTCCTAGTCTGATGCATGGCATGTTCTCCCAAGGCACAGTAGCCAACTGGGAATTCGTTTACCACATGGGTAACAGCTGTGCAAGTGCTCCATTTCCCTGCCCTGCCCAGGGGCCAGGTCTTGTCTTGGTGTGGGCAGGAATAAGGAATGCAGGCGAGGGGAGCAGGAAGCAGGACTTTCTCCCCAGGAGGCCCTTCCTGGCTGGACATGTGAGAGTACACATGGTGCTCTCCGTTCAAGCTCATACCCCATCTGGTAGGAGAATGTGGCCCACAAGTGTCCCGTACTCTGGACATTGCAAGTTCCTCGTACATGGTGAGGAGGTGAATGGAAAGACAAAGACAGGGACCATTGCCCTTCACTGAGTAGACACTCAAAACATACAGTTCTTGAATTTAAAACTTGACTTTGAGGGTTGACTCTGCAGCCTGGGTATTTGTGGTCCCTGATACCTTAGGGTCTGTTTCACTTGTAAGCCTGTCCTGACATATACCATAGATAAATGTTTCTACGTTATTTGTATATGTGTTATTTTCCCTTTTATATAAGAGGTTTATTTGTCTTTGAAAAGGATTCATAATGAGATTTGTAAAATAGGCCGTTCTTGTAGTTTAAAAAAAAAATTGATTTTCCTAAACTGCAAGGAGGATTTAAGGCTCTTCCTGGGGGCGTCTGCAGCTCTGTGGGCTTGGTCCCCCTCGTGGCTGTCACACCTGGTGTATTGCTGTTGCCTTTTCTTCAGTCATCTGTAAGCTCACTCAGGACAGAATCAACGTTTTCCTAGTCTTTGTGTCCCCAGTGCCTGGCTCATAGTTTGGCATATATTAGACACTCAGTAACATTTGTTGAATTGATTATCCCATTTTCATTTTATGTATAATTTCCTCAGGAGTAAATCTCGTAAGGTATTTGTATTTCTGGCCTAATTTTATTGTTAACATCTATGTCTTCGGTTGTTTCAAAAGGAAGTTAAGGGTGCCTGAGAGCTTACCTCACTTTCTTCCCAAAACACGCACAAACATACCCATGAGCGTGCATGTGCGTAGACCACAGAATAAACCCCAAACCTCGCAAGTTAAACAGGGAAAATCGAACACTGCTCTTTATCGTATCATTTCTCTGATCATAAGTCATGTTTTTGATTTTTGGGGATACGTTATTAGAGTCAGATGAGGCCTGTGGTTCAACTAATGTTGAGAGCTCTATCACCTTCTCATTTATCATTAATAACTTAGGGCCACTCAGGATCAGGACAGGATATAAATCAGTAAAGACAATTCAGTATTGCTTTGTTATAGTAGGTGTTATCTCTTTGTATAATGAATGTACAAATCATCAAGTGTATTTTCTCATAGTCTAGATTATTGCATCTTTGATTTGATAAAGTATTCATAGATACTTGTGTATCAGTGGAGTTCCAGGTGCTGAGGATGCAGCTGAGAAACCAAACAAAGCTTCTGCCCTCCAGGAGCTTATATTTTACTGTGTGTGTGTGTGTGTGTGTGTGTGTGTGTGTGTGTGTGTGTGTGTGTGTGTGTGTGTGTGTGTGTGTGGGGAGAGCAGTATAGAAAAATAAATATGTCAGGTATTGATAAGCGCTGTCTTGGAAGAAGTGCAACCAGAATGCTCCTTAGAAGCAAGGATGGTGACACTTTGTCTCACGTAATTTGGACATGTTATCAGGAGGAGCCAGTCCATGGACAAGGACATCATGCTTGGTAAAGTAGAGGGTCAGTGAAAAAGAGGGAGACCCTCAGCAAGATGGATTGACACAGTGGCTGCAACAGTGGGCTCAAGCATAACAAGGACTGTGAGGATGGCGCAGAACCAGGGAGTATTTTCTTCTGTTGTACATAGGGTTGCTATGAGTTGGAACTAACTCAGTGGTCCAACAACAACATTGATAAGTGCTAAGAAGAAAAACAAAACATTGCCAAGGTAATAGCGACTGCAGGTGTGTGTGATTGTGTGCTAGAAGGCTCAGGTGACATTTGAGCAGAGACCTGCATGGAATGAGAGAGCAGCCCTGCGGGACTCTGTCTGTGTTAGAGGAGCACCAGGGAGGATTCCAGGTGAGGGGCTGGAGCAGTGTCAGTGTCGGGGGTGGCGGGAGCTGAGGCCAGAGAGGTCGTGGGGGGCAAGCTGGGTCAGGCGGGGCCTTGTAGGTGGGGACATGAATCTCACCCTGCGCGAGATGGGAAGCCACTGGAGCTCTGCACCCAGGAGTGATGAGCTCAGCTGACTTAGGTTTTAAATGGATCTCACTGCTACCACGTGGAGAAGGGTATGTAGGGTGTGGTGACGAGGGAGACCTATTGGGAGACCTCTGTGGTTATCTAGGAGAGAGGTAATGGTGTGTGACCCAGGGTATAGGCAGTGGTGGAATTCTGAATTTTTTTGGAAGTGAGAAAGTGAGGAGTAAAGGGTGATCCCGAAGTAAAACAGCACCGTTATACTGATGATGCTTTGTTTCATTGTTTTCCTATTTTTTTGATTCCTTAACAGAACCCAGATTAAGTGTAGCTCCTGAAATGGATATCATGGACTACTGCAAAAAAGAATGGAGGGGAAATACGCAAAAAGCAACGTGCATGAAAAAGGTATGACAAATATGTCCACGTATCACAGGTCTTTCAAATAGTCTGTCATTAGTTATTACTTAATATGCCCTTTTGTATTTTTAAAAGTTACCTATGATAACTGCTTGCTATTTGATATATAAATATTGGTGTTCTAATTTTAGACATAAGGAAATAGACCTCAGAGATAGGGGACTTGTTTAGAGCCCAGTACAGGTTGTCCCCGACTTACGACCGGGTTTCGTTCTGACGACTCCGTTATAAGTCAGTTCTGATGTAAGTCAAGTACCTTTTTTTTTTTTTTTTTAGTTTTCGTTATTATTGCCTTTTATTATCCGTATCTTTGTAAGTCTGATCTTTGAACATCTGAGAGTGAACATCTGAGAATGATAACATCGGCAAATTATATGCTGCAACAGTGTACATAGTACTCACTACTAACAATAAGATGTACCAAAAAAAAACCAACAGGGAGTCGTAATTGCGGTTTGTTAACAACTCGAATACGCCATAAGTTGGGGACCCACCTGTATTAATAGAGAGTCAGCACCAGTTATTCAGGAACTGAATTGCTTTGTGAAACAGAATGATTCTGCAGTTCAGAGTTGGGCCAGCTGTCGCTCATCCCCTTGGTCCTTGGGGACTGGCCACCTTGGCCTGGTGTTGTCAGAGCCTTAGGGGTGGGCACTGGAGCTGTTCCTGGGACTGGCTGAGTCCAGTCTCCCACTGCCCCTCGTCTTAGGGGCCTAGGCCCTCTGGACCCCCTATGCAGAGAGATCTGGAACTGGCCACCTTCGTTAAGGGTATCCTAGGAACTGCCCTCCCAGTCGTATTGCATGGATTGGGACCCTCGGGTCATCTCGGAGGCTGTAGGATAACAGCTGCGATTCCCACAGTGTGGTGCTGCTGTGACCGGGCTGGTTCTGCTCACATAGAGCCAATGTTTGTTGCTCAGGTCAAACACCTTGACCCCAATACACTGCACAGCCAATCGAACAGCAAATCCTATTGGATCTACCTGCAAAAAACACCTTGACCCCAATACACTGCACAGCCAATCGAACAGCAAATCCTATTGGATCTACCTGCAAAATGTGTCCTGAATCCAACATTCCTAATTGTTAGGTTGAACCATGTGAAATTGCTACTATTTGACTGTTTTCAACCTACAAAAACAGCAATTTCAATCTAATAATTCCCCACCTCTTGTAACCGCTGGGTTATATCCTTTGTTCACTTTTCTATTGGAATTATGTAAATTATGAATTTAAATATACTTCTATATTACAGACATTGACCTGTCATTTTTAAGAGAAATATTTTTCAACTTTTTAAAAAAAATTTTTTTAATGTTTAAAATTTTCCTTTTTTTTTTTTTAATGTTTGAATACATTTATTTTTTTCCTTAGAGCTTGTTTTTGTAGAAGATTTTGCATCTTTCAGTAGGCACCTCAAGTGCGTCTGCCTGTGTGAAGTGGGCTGGCCTTTGTCAGAAGGCAAGCTGCCACCTTTAAAACTCTTTTGAGAGCAGATGTCAGCACTTAGTCCCCACAAGTCTGGTGTCTAGATTGTTTGCATGCCAGGCGCTTGCTGGGGGCTCAGCAGTGAAACACCTGCATTCTGCACACCTGCCAGAGGTTAGGTTCAGAACATTTTTATCTTTTTATGGCTGTCTAACCAGCCACACTTAGATGTTCCTACTTCCTGCCTTGTATCAATTTAGATAACCAGGAAGCCAAGTATCTAAACTATGTTTCCTCAGCTTTCCCAGAAATGTTTTCACTGACTTGCGATTCTGCTTCACAACCTTAGCCTTTTGAGAGCATTGCTTTTAGCAGTTGGTGACTTGAAGACTGTAATCGAAGATTTCTTCTAAGTCATCCAGATATCCACATTCAGGAGCTTGTGCTAAAAGCATTCTTCTGTGGGTTTTGCACCAGGGAAAGATTTGACCCTGTAGGTGGAGTCTTTCAGTGACCAGGTAATCACCACCCGGTCAGTTAGAAAAGCACCACATCTGGACCCACCCTCAGTGATATAGCGCATCTCTGGTGCCTGGCGACAGCTTAGTTCTCAGTTCTGTATTAGTCCTTACTTGTCTACGTGTATATTCTTTATTTTGGATATTCTTTTGGAAGTAAGCATTATAAATCCAGTTTAATTTACAAAGCTTGTTTCCACTCTGACATAGCATGAGTAATGAGTGCATTTGGAAAGATGCAGTGTCCATTGAATGAGCCATCATAAGTGCTGCTGCGGGAGTGGGGGGTTCACCATAGGGAAGACGTGCATATGGTAGGTGTGATGGGCCCTCATATGCCACAGTGGTTGGATAACTAAATACAAAGGCCGCTCTCCAGATATTATTATTGGAAAGAAGTGCTTCAGGGACCTCTCCCCATCATATTCACTTAGAACATCGTCCTCTGATTTGAGTCTGAGCAGGTCTGTCTGGGGAGGTCAGGTCACTGCAGGTGCCTGTGCAAGTCACTGGGGTTCCTTGTGTCCTTTTATGTACACTTCAGAATTGTCCAGTTGATGCTGTCTTTGAGTGACTGAGTATGCCACTGAACAGTTTCATTTCCTCATTTCACTTCCAGACTGAGCAAGAATGGCACTTCAATCCACTTTTTTTTAAAATTTAACAGAATTATCCAGTTATCTCCTAGCGTGTCAAACCAAAAAACCCGTTGGCAGTCGAGCTGATTCCAACTCATAGCAACCCTATAGAGCAGAGTAGAACTTCCCCATAGGGTTTCCAAGGAGTGGCTGGTGGATTCGAACTGCCAGCCTTTTGGTTAGCAGCCAAGCTCTTAACCACTGCGCCACCAGGGCTCCGTCTAGCATGTAGACTTCTTTATATATACCGAACAAATTTGGGATTTGATATATATTTTTCAATGCAGAGATACAAACTTAGCACATTTTCTCAGTCTCTCCTGCCTCTTCATTAAAGAGGTTAAGGTCCCCGTGAACACAGAATAAGCCCTGCAGGATATTAGTGATCAGTAAGTGAATGTTACAATAGTTGCTTAGAAAGGGACGTATAACTCCAACTTTGGGGGTGGCAGACATGTTTTAACAATACTTTGTATATTTTATATGTCTAGCCTATTGTGTATGTTGCATATGCTGATACTTCACAGAGTACTCATGTTTGATAACTTCTTTTGATTAATAAAAAAGGGGTTGGAATGTCCCACATAAAGGATTCGGCCAGTCTTGTTTCCATTCTTCCAGCAATCTGGGACAGTTTTTCCCCACAGGAATAAAACTCTCCCTGCCACTTGAAGTCAGTAATGACCTACCTTGGATTCTTTGATACTTTCACCCAGGGCTACGAGGAAGTTTCTCAGAAATTCACCTCCATAAGGTGCGTTCGCGGTGACAACTACTGTGCACTGAGGGCTACGCTGTTCCAGGCGATGAGCCAGCCGGCGGAGCTGCCCCTCTGGCTGCAGGACCCGGAGCTCACGCTGGTATGCTGCCACCACAGGTTTGAGTCTGCAGTGTTTCACGTGGCTGCGTGAGAAGACTTCCCCTTTCTGCCCATGCTCTTGCGAGTAGTATTGCCTGTGACACGATGTCAGCTCGTGGGTGTGCTCAGGTCTGTGTGGCTGGGGTGATTTCACCTAGTAAAATGGCCGAGAATAGTGGATGTTTCCCAGATAAGGAAAGCAATAGAACTGATTCAAGCAGGTCAGCTAAATTAAAGAGCAGATGTTTAGAGTTTGTAAAAAGCGATTTGGAACGGTTCGACTTCATTGTTGGTGTTTACATCAAGTGGGCAATATATTTTATGATTTTATGGTTCAAGAACCTGCCAGGTGTTTAGAAAACACATTTCTTGTTTGACTCAGGAAATAAGTAGAACCCTCTGTACAACATTAGGGGGACTGGCTTTGTGGGCGACTGAGCAGCTACACGGGAAAAGAGCTGATAATGTCACCTTGGAGAGGCTTCCTGGGGAGGTGTGATTGTTAAGGTTGTGTGTCAACTTGGCTGGGCCACGATTCTCAATGGTTTGGCAGTTATGATGTAGTTTGGCAGCTATGTATTGATGTAATCACCTCCATGAGATCTGATACAATGTGATCACCTCCATGATGAGAACTGTTGTGAGCAGCCAGTCAGTTGAAAGAGAGTTTCCTTGGGGGTGTGGCCTGCATCCAGTACAGGTGGACCTTCTGTCAAGGCTCACTGGCTTTTGCTCACTCTGGATCCTGCAGCTGGCTGTTCATCTGACCTCTGGTTCTTGGGACTGGACCTAGCAGCTTACCTGCTATCTTACCTTACCAATCTTGGGATTTGTTGGCCTCAGCAGCCTGTGAGCCAGAGGCCTGCTGTCTGAGCTTCCGATCTTGGGTTCACCAGCCCCTGCAGCTATGTGAGTTAGGAGAAGCCTCCAGCCTGATGCACAGGACTTGGGACTTTACAGCTTCTACAACCTTGTGAGCCATTTCCTTGATGTAACTCTCTCTATATGTATATTTATATGCTGCACTGGTTTTGCTTTTCTAGAGAACCCAGCCTAAGACGGGAGGGTCAGAAGCTGTGTCCCAGGCCTGGCCCTTGTTAGTGTTTTAAGTCTGTGACTTGGTGGTGACTGGAAAGCTGTGCATCCGTGTGTCCTTGCCACAGATCAGACAGGGTCACGTAAAAATAAACCGGATGATAGAATATCCCAAAAGATTCTGGTGGCAGGAATGATTGAGCAGAAATGACCATATGACATTAATTGGAAGAAAATCTGTAACCCATAACTTTAGTTTAAAAAAAAATGGCGCAAGTGCTGGCTGGGAGCAATCTGTCTTAACGGCAGTTGATGAAGGAAAAAAAGGCCTCGGGGCTTTAACTGATTGCAAGCCCAGCGTGAGCCCGCACAGAACGCGGTGTCCAGCAGTGCTGACACGCTGGCTGCATGGGAAGGAATGCTGTCTGCAGCCCAGGCAGTAGCAGTCCCAGCGGGAGCAGGACTGGCCAGAGCCCATCTCACGGACCGAGCTCAGCTCTCTTCCCCGAGTCTTCACTAGCAGATGGACCTTGAGAGGAGCGTGACCAAGGTGATTCGTCTCATTTGGGGAATAGTTAGAGGAGCAGGGGATACTCTCCTGGAGAGAAGACAACTTCTAGAGGAAACTGGTTGCTAGATAAGATGTTTGAGGCCTGTTAGGTGGTCAAGGGACCCACAGCTCCAGAGGGCAAGACCAGGGCCAGTGGGTGGAGGATACTGTCTGCCTATTTTATGATTATCCATTTCTTAAACCAGTTTAAAAATCAGCATACCTACATGAACCATCCAAACCTTGTCTGTGAAAGATATTTTCTTCTAAGCAACGATGTATGTCATCTTAAGCAGGTTTCCTAGTATAAGCTTATTTTTCTATATATACAGAGGTAAAAGAAATTGGTACGCTAGGCTGTTTTTTCCTTTGCACATCACGGCATTTATTAGTAGTGAAGTATTTCCGAATCGTTGGTTGGTTGACGGAAGGATGCCTGTGGACGGATGCCTGTGGACATGAGGCAGTGTCAGGAAGCCCTTGAGGAGTGATGGCTCTGTTTTAACTTCCATTCTTGACAACGATCACTTAATTTATATATTGTGACCTAAAATCCTCGATGTTAGGCTGAGTTTTCCTTTTGAGCCTTTAACGACCTGTTTACATTTATGGACTTAGTTGGCATCATGAATTTGAATTTTTATACTTTCCCAGAAACTGTTGTAAGCAGTGTTCTAAGTAATTAAACATATAAAACACTTCCTATAAAAGTAAAGCACAGCTGCCTTCTATTTTACTGACAGGATGTGTTTGGGTAAGGTCATCAGCCTTATTAATAGTAGCCCAGGCAGGTTGCGTCCATTTCTGATTGGTATTAGACTGCATTGTGTGCAGGAGCTACGGGGCCCTGAGGTGGGTTACCTGGCTGATTTTTTAGTTTCTAAGGAATTCTTTCCAATTTCTTCTGTGTATTAGGCAACAAATAAAATGTTTCTCTTGACCAACGAATTAGTTGGTCACAGTGGTGTTACTTTTGTCGTCTAACCTTTATTGAAAGCCAAAAGGCCCAGGAAAACACATCATACCTGCCTGTGAGTTTCGTAGTTCAGTAAACTTTGCTGCTGCTACGTGACAGATGAGGAAACAACTTTGTTCTTTTCTTGCTCTCGTCCGACCAGAAGACTTGTTCTGTATTGATTTTTCCCACAGTTTGCCATGGTTCGCCCAGCTTCTGTACACAGTTGTTTTGTTACATCACTCAGAGGCTTGCTGAGGTGACACGTTCACCAGGTGCTTCACAGTCGAGGTGCCAGTGCCTGAGGGGCACACAAACTTTGTCTGGTGGTGCGCGACCAAACTGTTTCCACCTCCTCCCTGTGGCAGGCTTCCTGTGATGCTGTACTATGCTGTTCTCATTCTGGCCCGTGCACCCTGTCTTCCCTTGCAAAGTCCACCCTGAGAAGGGCCTCGTTGAATGAGCGAGTACATGGTGGGGTGTGCTGGAAGACCAGGGCTGGAACCAAGGGCGGCAGAAGGGGTGGAGGTAGTGGGGAGGCTCACAGAGCTGGATGGTCAGTGGGGTACCTGGTCCACCACGCCCGGAAGTGGGGAACACTCAGCATATCCACATATTACTTGGAAACACGTGTGCTTGAGACGAGCAGTCAAGTGAACTGTTAAATAATTCTGTTGCCTTAAAAAAGAAGGTTGTACAGAGTTTTGGTTTGAAAGGCAATGTGCCCCTCTCCTACCCATCTTCCTAGTGGGTAGGAATCATTTGTGCCCTGTCACAGTAAAATCTGGCTTGCTCTTGGAACTTGGTATATATTACTTGCGTTAAAAAACAGGATAGACTTGCTGTTATAAACACTTGGACTGGGTCTGCAGTAAATCAAAACCAAACCCGTTGCTATCGGGTTGATTCTGGCTCATGGTGAGCACGTGTGTTACAGAGTACAACTGCTCCATAGGGTTTTCTTGGCTGTAATCGTTATGGAAGCAGATTGCCAGACCTTTCTTCTGTGGTGCTGCTGGCTGGGCAGGTCCGAACTGCCAACCTTTAGGGGAGTAGTCCAGGGCAAACCATTTGTGCTACCCGGGGATCTTAAGACCCACAGCAGCCCTTCTGGAAATGGATCTGTGTCAGTTTGTCTTGTTCCTTGGTCCTACTGAAGTGCCGACGACCTCTTACCACTGCGCTGTGTCCATTGACAGCCATGTGTCCTGCTCACAACACAGACACCTCTGTTGCTCTGTGTGCACGTGGCCTTTGGAAGTCCCGGGGGCACTGGCCGCTTCTGGAACCACAGAAAGGCTTCTCTCAGCAGGCAGCTTGGAGGGAATAGCGTTTCACTATTACTAACTAGGGTCTCCCGAATGGCGCTGGCTCAGCATTAACCCACCTATCTTCAGCTGTGGGGACAGACAGGGCCTGGGACACCTCAGTGTGTTCAGGAGTCTGTAGACCCAGAACCAGCCTCGGCCCATGGCTTCAGGCCACACACTGCTCACGTCCCTGACCTCTGGTGTGTTCCATCAGGATGCTCAGGTGAACCCAGAGAAGTCATGTTTGTCCCTGAGGCATACATAGCCTTTAGCTAGCTGCATCCGCATCCCTTTGCAGGTTGCGAGATGTCCTGTGTGGATTCTGTCATTTCTGCTGTCATAGAACGTCAGTTGGTTTCAGGACATTCAAGGGAAACAGGAGAGCTAGACAGGAAGGCCTTCCCCTTAATGTGAGCACAGTGAGAGATACCCCAGGTGTTCCTCTGCTGCTGCCCAGCTTCTCGGCCTTGCTGTTCCCACCTGTGAGGTGGAGCTTTGTCCTGACCCACTCCTCAGCCCCTGAGAGGGGGCAGTCTATAGGGCAAGGGTCCTCGGGTTTCCACATACACTACGTTTTGGAATGTCTCTCTGACTGGGTGGGACCTGTGGTGGTGTTTTCTTAGAGTGGAATACACTGTACTTCAGAGCTCTTTTGTTGAATTAGCTTTGGGGTTGACAACACGTTTTTGTTATTTGTTAACCCTTTAATCTTGGTGGTGACTTCAAGAATTGTAGCCATTTGCTAGAGAAAACAGACTGTTAATTCTGTCACAAATGGAGTTACATCTAAGCTAATTACTACTTTAATCTTAAATATATCCTATAGAAAATTCTTACCTTATTTCTGCTTAAATCCTCTTTATTTTAATAAAAGCACAGTCTTTTTATGCTTAGTAGAAAAGATTAGCTCTTTGTGTTTCTGTGTGTTATGACGGAGGAGCCCTAGTGGTGCAGTGGTTAAGCTCTCAGCTGCTAACCAAAAGGTTGGCAGTTCGAACCCACCAGCTGCTCCGTGGGAGAAAGATACGGCAGTCTGCTTCCGTGAAGATTACAGCCTTGGAATCCCTGTGGGGCAGTTCTACTCTGTCCTTCCTGTACGGTCGCTGTCAGAATCGACTTGGTGGCAGTGGTATGTGTTACGACTCCTGAAAGCATACATTCAGTTTTTGTTTTTTTCTTCTAAATAAATAATCTTGACTCCATTGTTCTTTCCTAATTGTTTTGTGCTTTTCACTCCTCGTTTTTGGACTTTTCTGGGAGAAGACTGCCCTGAATTGGAGAGTTAATCTAGCGCCAGCATGACCACTGCCTGGAAGCAGTGAGGAATGACCCCTTAGGTTTCCCTGTGTGTAGTCAGGGCTCTGGGTCTCCTGAGTGAGTCAGCGGAGCATGGCCTGCCTTAAACCCTGGCCACGTCCCCTACTCTCCTGACCTCGTCTTCCCAGCTCTCCCTTGCGGAGCCAGTGTTTTCTGCACAGTCGCAGCTCTCTGTGCCAGCTGTGATTCCAGCTTGCTGCCACTTGAGGGCATGCTAGGTTCTGGCGATGAGCCCGAGAACCTGAGTGGGAGGTTTTGCAGCAGAGCCCCCACAAGCTGCCGAACTGGCGCACAGCGTGAGGTGGCCTGGGCTGGGTGGCTCTGAGGGGGCCGTCATCTGTCCTGCTCCTCATAAGCCGAGAGCGTAACCCCCCGTGTGTGATTGTAGATTGTCATCACTGTGGTGACCCCAAGAGTCATTTACGTCCCTGTTGTGGTTCTGATTTTTGCAGAGATGAAACCACCTTAGTTTCCCACAGTTGCGCTAGCTGGAGCAGGTAAAGCTGGAATTCCCATTCACGAAAAGGGCTTTAGAGCTTCCGACTGCGGTGGAACTGAACACATGGCCTCATTGCCGCCATCTTTACAACAGTTAAATAAGGTTCCATGTAGCGCGTTGTAGGATTTAATTATTCTTTTATGATCTCTAAACTTGGAGGTGAACTTTTTTTTTCTTTGTGAATTTTGTAGCAGTTGAAGTAATATGGCTCTGCCCAGCCTCCTTGTGTGATTTTTCTCCTGACACGCCCAAGGCTGCCCGGAGAGTCTGGGTTCCCATGCTGTCATCCATCAAGCTGAGTCTCAGCTTGCCTTTCACACTCCAGGTTCTATGGATAATTAGGAGAAAACAAAATAAATACTCCGGAGGAAAAAGGAAACGGAGAGCATGTAGCTGGCGGTTCTCTCACAGCCCGGG